GTTTAGTCTGGAGAAAAGGACATTTGGGGAGACCTCATTGCTGTCTACAACACTCTGAAAGAAGGTTGTGATGAGGTGGGGGTTGGCCTTTTCTCTCAGGTAACAGTGATAGGACAAGAGGGAATGGCCTCAAGATGCAACAGGGGAAGAATTAGAAGTTCCTTCTCAGAAAAAGCGGTGAGGCACTGGAACAGGATGCCCAGGGAATGGTGGAGTCACCGCATCTGGAGGTGTTTAAGGAAAGGGTAGATGTAGTATTTAGGGATGTGGTTTGGTAGGCAGCACTTGTGGTAGGTGGGCGGTTGGACTAGATGCTCTTAGAGATCTTTTCCAAACTTAATGATTATACGATCCCATGATTCTATGACTTGAGCTGATGTTCAAGTAGTCATTTTTTCACTTGTATTGCTGCTTTTGGCTTTTAGGCCTTTGCTTCCCCCATGTATATCATAATTGCCTACCTAGCAATCTTTGATTTCAATGTTTCTGCTCTTAACAGGGTCACAAAGCACTTTACCTTCTGTCTTGCTGACAGCCGTGAACATGGATCTTACAAAATCCCTGCCTTATTGCCCATAACACTTCCTAGATTCTACCTAGAAACTAGAGTTCAGCTGGCACATTCTGTCTCCTTGCATTTTCTAGATTTTGCAAAAGATTGAGGACTGTATTTCTGTTTTAATTCCATCTATCTGTGCTAACAATCTGTTCTGGGTAGGAAATCAGGTTTGCATAGTTTTCTTGCAACAGATATATAAACTGCGTGTTTCAACAGCACACACTGAAGGCATTGTGAAACTGCCAACAGAGCCTTCCTGTGAACGCTGTCTCATTGTCAAGTGACAATAACTAATTATCTCCTCTATTTTTATTAGAAGACAGGTTATTTCTTACTTGGATGGCTTCCACTCCTACCAGATACTGTTTCAAATTTTTTTGTGAAGGCAATCTCCTGCAAGATGTTCCTTTCCCAGCTTAGGTGTGTCTTTCTTCCATTGATTGTGGTGCAACAGTGTGCTGGCTCTTCCTGTTTGGAAGCCTCCCACCCAGGTTACAATCCAGTGAGTTTGTACTGAATCTCTGCTGAAGTTATGTTTCTGCAGTGGATTCAAGGTAACCGTGGACACATTACCTCTCTATCACACTGCATGTTTCAAAGTCATCTGGGAAACTTGGAAGAAACTGTGCTAGTTTATGACAGCTAACAGTCTTTGAACTAAATTAATACTTCAGGTGTGGGCATGTTATTGTGTTGCCTTTAAATGTTTATTCAAATCAGATTTTCAGGGATACTAAGACAGTTTCATCTTGGTTTTATTTTACCCTTAGGTCTGTTTGGATGACCTCATAGCTGAGAGCAGAGCTTTTGGTGATCCTGTGATTTCTCCCACCTTTCTTCCCTGTTGTACCCATATCTGTATAGCAGCAATACCATTGCCTTTATCTCCTGTGCCTGTCAATTCATTGCACACCTTCCTTACCTCTCCCCTTTTTTTTTACTCTGAATGTTCTGTGAGGCATGTGCTGTAGAGATGGATTTGTCTGAGCTGTTTCCTGGCACAGTTTCCTCGCCCTTCCAACTCTCTTTAGCAGCTTTGTTGCAAGGAAACTGCAATGCACGGTGTGCTCTGGATTTGCTATTCATTTTGCTGGTGTGTCTGCTGTGAAGCAATTGCCTTAGGCATACTGTAAGCAGGATCAGTACTTGTGCTTCAGTTGAAAGGAACATTTTTATCTGTGCCACCTGAAGTGTCAGCCTGCATTCTCTTTCTTTTGAGATTCAAATGATCATTTTCTTAGTCCCAGTGCCATTACAGCTATGCTATCAAGGATGTATAAATGGGGTTTTCTTAGCTATGACTTCTGTGTCTCTCCAAACTGATGTGGCCTCATGTTTTGAGTGATGCCTGTTCTCTCCTTGGCCTCATGTTTGTGTGCTGCTGCTGCCTGTGCACCAGGCAGAATGTCTGCCTGGGATATTCACGTGAAGAAAGCCTTGTAACCTGACTGTGCATGAACTACCCTACGTTAACACCTCTAAATAACATTGACTGTGAGTGGGACATCTGTACGTTGAAGTTATTGAGTTCACACATTACTTTGTGAGACATATCTGATCCTCTTTAGCCACATGAACCTTTGTTTCTTTCTGCCAATTTAGGATTCTAGGCAGAAAAAATTCAAAGGTTCATGGCACATGCCTTCCTCAGCTACAATACTTTCTGCTCATCTCCAATTAGATTTTTCCTATCACAGCCATCATGTGTGACCCAGTTAGAAGAACAGTCACCTCTGAAGTCAGCTTCTTCTGCTACACCCATGTAGTCTTTCCTGCTGTCCTCTACTACATTTGCAGTGTTCATTGAAGAGCACACATTGTTTTCTTCTAGACTGAATTTTTAAGCTGCTCTCAGTCTCCAGGTTGGCTCATTGAAGTGTTAGACAAACACAAATATTGTCATATAGGAAGTGGCAAGACCATATAGCTGGGCATAAGGGATGTAAGGGCTGCCTACAATGGCAGTTTACCACCAGTTCAGCTTTGTTGCTGTGTCAGACTGTGCCAATGTTGCAATCCAACCCAAGGCAATACACAGAGTGTGACCTTGTACATAAACATCTGTATGGGAACAGGAAATTAGTGCTGCTGTGACTGATCTTTTTTCCTATTTCTGATGCTTGAACGGACTGAGATCTGACACAGCACTCAGAAACAGATATAGAAGTTTCAGTTCTATATTCTTTTCCTCCATTACATTGATAATTATAGAATCATAGTATGGCTTGGGTGGAAGGGACCTTAAAGACCATCCAGTTCCAACCACTCACTAGACCAGGTTGTCCAGGACCCAATCCAGCCTGGCACTGAACACCTCCAGGAAATGTAGCTGACTGTGTAGCTTCATATTACTAATTTTAAAAGCAAGTTCCATGTGTTGGGGGATTTAATATACAGGAAGGTCATTTGTGTTTAAGAAACATTTAGATGTTGTACTGCAGGATGTGGTTTAGTGGGAAACGTTGGTGATAGGTGGACAGTTGGACTGGATGGTCTTGAAGGTTGTTTCTGACCTTGGTGATTCTATGATTCTATGATCTGCATCTCTAACTGTAAAAGAATACACTACCTAGTTTATTAAATTTAAATTAAAAAATATATATATCCATTATAGAGGAAGTCTGGTAGTTGCTCTTATTCACTGCTTATTCAGCTCAATCTACTGTTCTTCAACACTTTTCTTCAAGCCACTGAGAAAATGTAGCTATTCATGTTTCCTTATTTCTTCCAGTAGCAACGCAAAGCTGGAACAAAGCCAAAATATGCTGTGACTAATGGAAATATGTGGAAAATGTTATCTTAATGAGCCACCACCAAGCTTTGTCAAAAGCGATGTGATATCTGGACACAACTGCAGATGAGGTGACAGTTGTGCTCCCTGGGGAAGATCTCTTCTTCATCTAGTGGCTCTTATAAGTAACAGTGTTAAGAATTGCTCTCTGGTGCACCCAGAATTTTCTTGAACTGGTAGGAGACTGCATTTGTTATGCTGGAGCCCAAAATCACAGAATCACAGAATGGCCAGGGTTGGAAGGGACCTCAAGGATCATGAATCTCCAACCCCCCTGCCACATGCAGGGCCACCAACCTCCCCATTTAATACTAGACCAGACTGCCCAGGGCCCCATCCAACCTGGCCTTGAACACCTCCAGGGATGGGGCATCCACAACCTCTCTGGGCAGCCTGTTCCAGCACCTCACCACTCTCTCTCTAAAGAATTTTCCCCTGATGTCCAGCCTAAATCTTCCCTCCCTCAACTCAAAACCATTTCCCCTTGTCCTGCAGTTGTCAACCCTTTCAAAGAGTTGATTCCCCTCCTGTTTGTAGGCTCCCTTTAGTACTGAAAGGCTGCAATGAGGTCACCTCACAGCCTTCTTTCCTCCAGGCTGAACAAGCCCAGCTCCCTCAGCCTGTCTTCACAGGGGAGGTGCTCCTGTCCCCTGATCATCTTCGTGGCCCTGTAAAATCTCTGTATCACACCCAAAGAATTGCAGTGAGGGCACTTTGGACTTGAATTTAGTGAGGGGCAGCTACTATTCACGCAGTGTAAACGTATTTACAGTAAAATAATCCTACCTATCTAACCTTACAACTCTTTCCTTACTGTCAGACTACCCTATTTAAAAAAGCCTGAAACACTTCTGTAACGTATACCCAATATAAAAGAAAGACGCTGACGCTCAGAGCTAAGTGGTTGTAAGGCACAATTTTTGATGGGTATTTTAATGCTGCTATTTGAACATGCCCACCCCCAGCACCTTCTGTCCCTCATTTAAACAGGGCTGTTTCAAGCTTGTCAAGCTTGTGGTGATCTCTGTTTTCCAAAGGAGTTTTCTTGTGGCAGTTCTGCCTCCTTTTGCCCCGTAGCTCTTGCTGTTGAACTTCGTGGAGCCAGGAGGCTTTGGTTTAACATCAATCCTTCATCACAGTGCAGGGGAACTGAGGGAAGCGTGGTGGCTGTAAAGCACAAGTGATGCATGATGGTGTATAGGCTCCCTCTTAGCACTGAGATCTCCAAGCGCTGTGAACAAACAACTCAGAAAAGTCATTCTGCTGAAAGCTAAGCTGAAGGGATCAGCAGGTCTGTCACCCACAGCGGGTCTCTCTGGGGCAGACCAGACCCCAGGGGCCATGCACACGTACAGGGCTGTGCCTGTGGCTGGAGCGAGCCTCAGAAAGTCCTTCTTCAGGGCAGGAGCTCCCCAGGGCCTACCAGCTGCAGCAGCAGGAGCCTCTTACGGCTTTTAATTTTCAAATGAGGCTCCCCGCCTCAGCACGTCAACAGCCGGTCTGCCCCAGCGCTTTCACTACAGACTGCTCCGCGCACCGCCGCCAGGTGGCGCCACAGCGCCCCGCCCTGCGCGTCGCCTTCGGGGAGAGGGAAAGCGGAGGGGGCGAGGCGGAGCATGCGTAGTGCGCGCGCCTCTCCCGCCCCGTTCGCCTCCGCCTTCTGCTCTCGCCGCCGCTCCCTCCCCCCTCCTTCTCCTCACTACCACAGGGAGCGAGCGGGAGGAGGAGGAAACAGGGAGAGAGAGGCAGCTCCGGCGGCCCCTGGCGTTCCCCTCGGCGAGGGGAAAGATGGCGACGCTGGGAAGCGAGCCGCAGCCCTTCCCCGCCGCTGCCCTGGCGGTGGCAGCGGGCGGGGTGGGCGGCGGCGGCTGTGGCGGCTGTGGCGGCGGCGGTGCGTTGGGTCTGCAGCCTCTGAACCGCGGTCTGGAGCGGGCGTTGGAGGAGGCGGCTCACTCCGGGGGGCTCAACCTGAGCGGCAGGAAGCTGAAGGAGTTCCCGCGCAGCGCCTCCGCCCTCACTCACGACCTCTCCGACACGGTGCGGGCAGGTGAGACCCGAAGGGATGGGGCGGCCGGGGTCCCGCCTTCAGGAGGCGAGGAAAGGAGATTGAATCTCCGTTAAATCTCCATTAAATCTCCGGGGGATCGCTCTCTCCCCGCCCTCGCCCCCTCGGGCACATTGCTTCCGTTCCCAACTCGACCTCTGGGGCGAGCGGCTCTGCGTGGACCTTATCGCTGTGCGTGGAGCTTATCCCTTATCTTCGCCCCCCGCTCAGCTCGGTGCCTGAGGGAGGTGTTGGCTCCCAGATGGCTGCAGCCACCCCCCCACCTCCCCACACGCACACTCATGTACTTGTAGGCTGCTTTTGCATCGAGCGAGGCAGAGCTGTGAGAATGTGAGAGGGAGGGGAGGGGGTTCAGGCTCACGCCTGCTTTCTGCGCTAACCTTGAGGACTGCAGGTCTCTGTGCCTCCCTGGAGCCCGCCTTCGGATGTGGTTATGTGAACACACGTTTGCTTTGGGTTGGATACTTTCTCACCTGTCGTGGGGGGGCACAGGTCTGTGTGTAACCATGTGAAGATGCACTCGAATGCTGCTTAATATGTCTCGCTACACGTGGAGGTGGCAATAGGAGCACTTTTGCTCTGCAGGGAGCACGCTGCCTTTCACAAATGGTACTTGTCAGACAGCGGGGTTGATATCCACTCCTGTATGCTTAAAGTCATAGAATGGCTTGGCTTGGAAAAGACCTTTAAGATCATCTAGCTCCGACCCCCTGCTGTGGGCAGGGTTGTCATCCATGAGATCAGGCTGCCCAGAGCCACAGCCAAGCTGGCCCTGAACACCTCCAGGGATGGGACACCCACAGCTTCACCGAGCAACCTGTTCCAGTGTCTCACCACTCTCCGAGTACAGTATTTCCACCTGACATCTAACCTAAATTTTCCCCTCTTCATTTAAAGCTATCCTTCCTTGTCCTATTACTACCTGACTGTGTAAGTAGAATCATACAAAGTCAGGTAACAATATTTCCCCTCTGTATGTAATGCTGTTTTTCAAGGCAAAAATCATCATCATCATCTTTACATGTACTCATTTTACAGTGGGGGACACCATCATTATATACATTCACAGAAGAGATAGGCCTAACAGCCTTGCAGAAAGGTGTGGAGAGGGGAAGCGTTTGCAGTCTGTGTTCACCTTATCCTTGTACCTCTTCCAATGTGGAAAATGCCCACTTGTTTCACATCTCAAGGAGCAGATCCCAACAGAGGACCATAATCTGGTTTTCTGCCCCTGTTTGTGCAAGGGGCTGGAACCTGATTCGTGCTTTGCATAATGTCACTTGGTAGAACTGTACAAACCCACACTAGAAGAATGTTGGTATGCTCTGAAGATATTTATTGTACCACCTCCACGTGCCCTTTTGTGTCCCCATTTGCCTGCTGAAGATAATTGTGTTGTAACAGTAAAGGAGCAGGCAAGTAATCACTTGTTCCTGTCCCACAGAACAGCAGGTGCTATACCTGCATGCATGAACCTCAGCTCTCACTCCTGCACATGAGGATATCTGTGTGTTTCTTTCTGTGGAACTTGCTTGCTGCATGCTAGTGTCTATCTCAGCTGTAGGGAGCAGAGTAGTGTCTCCAGTACTTCAAATTTAGTTGTTCTTCAGCTCTGATACTTGTTGCTGAATGGATTTCACAGTTTGTGTGAGCACTCCTATAAATAAAAGAGAAATATGAAGGAAACTCCATTTCATTTATCAATGAAACTTATTAATTGGTAGCATGCTGACAATTAAGTAACTCGATGACAAATGCAGTAGTTAAAGCAGTAAGATGCATGGTAATAGAACTGCATGCAGTCAGAAAAAATGAATCAGCTTGTCTCCCAAAGCAAGATGTTTTATCTCTGTTGTTTTTAAAGCTGTGGTCTAGCAAAGGCATGCTGTGATTTAAGATAAGTAGTTTGGAAACTCAGAAAGCTAGGCTTGTTTGGCTTGGGGTAATACTGACCCAAGCTGTTGGTAAAACAAATTACTTACTGAAAAAAGTTATTTGATTGGTAATGAATGCATGTTTGCACAGGTATGTTCTTTACAAGTGTGAACTGTGTGTTGTATGTGTAGGTAGCACGTGTCTATTACATACTTCTGTATTCTGTTTTCTATTCTGTTGAGAATAGAATTTTATTCTTAGGAAAGAAGTAGTCTTTGCCTTCAAGCACTAATGTGCTTTTATCAGAATTTACACAAACGATACTGAATACATAACTAAATGTAGAATGGGTTTTTCCTTTTCTTTTTGCTTTGTGGAAGTGTGAAGTGGCCCATGGCTCAGTTCTGTAACAGCTGTCCTTTATTCATTGTTCCCATTTAGGAAAACCATGTGCTAATCTATGGTTACTTTATGTTTCTGTTTGCAACAGTATGTTGTAACTGATTAGTGAGAATTGTTTGCCTTGTCAGTTCAATCCTGTGTTGATATGCTTCTGAAAAAATCTGTGTTCCTTTTCATTTGTTACATTACATAAGTAGAATATATAAACAGAAGAGACGCTTGGCTTAAATCCAGCTTTCTGTAACTCTAAGGACAAACTCTTGATGGGAATTTTCTCTCTCACTTCCTCTCCATAAATGTGCATGATACAAAAACAGTCCTTTCTTGTACTACTTGCGATATGTCCTTCCAGTGAGTGACTTTTACTTTTGGATTTGATGTACTGATATGTCTCTAAAGTCATGTTTGGGGTGGGAGTAGTCATTCTGATTGCTAAAGAGGGCTAATCTCAGAAAAATGAAGCCAATCCAAGATTGAGAGAAGACAAACATAGAGGATTGAGTTCTCTGAGGAGAAGGGGATTTTCAAAAGAACGAAACCCTGTCTGCATCCTGACAGAGTCTTAGCCTTAGGTACTCAGAGTTCATGGTTTGAGAAAATGATGGTCTCCAGACTTTAATAAAATGTTATCAAGCTTGTCTTCTGCAAATGTTTTTAGTGCTTTAAATGAGTCTGAGGAAGATTGAAGTCTTAAACTTGAAATTCTCTGTTAATGTTGTTTTTGTTTTCTTGAGGTTAGGAGTCAGCCTTTATGTAGCAACTGATAAATTTGCAAAAGGAATGTATGCTGCTTGCCTTAATAGCTGGGAGCGAATCACTTGACTTTTCTAGTTCTTACTGTAGTTACATTCTGCAGCAACTGCAGAGGCTTGTCACTTGTCAGTTTCTGTTAATGCAGTTTTTTGGAATGTTTTTTTTCTTCTGTAACTTCCCTCTGCATTGAATACATCTTGCTGTGCGTGTGCATATGGCTTTCTAATCATGGAATAGCCAGGGTTGAAAAGGACCACAATGATCATGTAATTTCAACCCCCCTGCTATGTGCAGGGCTGCCAACCACCAAACCAGGATGCCCAGAGCCACATCCAGCCTGGCCTTGAATGCCTCCAGGGATGGGGCATCCACAACCTCCTTGGGGAACCTGTTCCAGTGTGTCACCACCCTCTGGGTGAAGAACTTCCTCCTAATATCTAACCTAAACCTCCCCTGTCTCAGTTTAAGACCATTTCCCCTTGTCCTATCTCTATCCATTCTTGAAAACAGCCGTTCCACCCCCTGTTTACATGCTCCTTTCAAGTACTGGAAGGCCACAGTGAGGTTTCCCTGGAGCCTTCTCAATGCTTCAAATTTTCTTCCTTCTTGTTTCTGAAAGTTTTTCTCAAGAGCTGAGCATGACCCACTCTGCTGAACCATCTGGCAGTATCGTGAATACAGGAGAGAGTTTGCGTGGTGTGCAGTATGGTTAGAAGAAAGTACATCCTCTCCATAGAGGATCTTGAGTTTAGTCAGATGTTTTAAACCACATCAGTGTGGATGCATTGCAAAAAACATTTCAATAACAATAAATGCTATTCTTATCACTTTTATTACAGGGTGGCTTATGCAGAAGACCGCGGCTCAATAATCACATAGTTCTTAAGTAATAGTATGCAATTATATTCCCCAGAACCACTGGGAATGCTATAGGCATGTTAGTTTATAAAAGAGGAAGAAAAAGCCTCAAAGTTGATATTTAAATGTGTATCTAGGGCCGCCTGTATCACTCCAACATCTGTCTGTAGGCTTTGGCTGCTTGTTTGAAGATAGATCCCCTGAACTTTTTCTCCCGTGTCCCTGTTTCATCTTTTTCAGGGTTAGGCACATAAGGGAGACAAGCTTGCGACTCCCATAAATGTTCTTTGGCTTCTTTACTCTGGGAAGGATGTCACCAATACAGACCTGTTCATTTGTGCTACTGGGCACTTTCATGAGTCTATAGTAGCTATCAAATGGACTCTACTATTTGGTTATTATTTGGACATGAGGTTCGATGTGTCGCTTTCCTTTTAAGAATTCTCTTGGATAGCTACTGCTCTTGATCTGGATTTTATAATTTGATTATCTTATCCAAAATTCCTGTTAATAAAACAACACCATAAAACTAATGAGGCAGCTGGAAAAAAAAAAAAAGCCCCCAGTTATTTCTTCTTATATTCAACAGCCGGTCCCTTTCTACAACCTTCCTGTGTTTATTTGAAGATTTTGAATCTTACTTATTCCCTTACACATAAGTTGTTGTTTGTGTATTAAGTGAAGAGGAGGCAGTGTGCTGCTTTATTCTCACAAGTGAATTGAATGTTATTCTGCAGCCAAAACTTATGGGATGCAATTCTCTTTTGAGATTATTGTGTCTATATCAAGGCTAAAAACTGGACATAATTTTGATATTATTTATCCAGCAGCATAAATGCAGTTTTCAGACTTTACCTTCATAACATGGTCTGTCTGGACATCTGTTTTAACCAACTTTTTTTTTTCTTTCAAGCAGTGCTTCGTAGATATTTCATAGGGTTAATGTGAGATATTTCATGGAATGGCCTGGGTTGAAAAGGGCCACAATGATCATCTCGTTTCAACCCCCTGCTATGTGCAGGGTCGCCAACCAGCAGACCAGGCTGCCCAGAGCCACATCCAGCCTGGCCTTGAATGCCTCCAGGGATGGGGCA